CCTCCATCACCCACCCCAGCAGGATTAATGCCTTGGCCATAAAGCGTTTACAAACTCTAAAGGGAGACAATAACTTTCCTTCTCACGGCCCCGTCACGAGGAGGTAGTGCATGTTTCCAATAAGCTGAAAATGTAGCTCAAATGGTAGGTTTTATTTCACTTTAATCCGCCTGTGAGTTCACATTAAAGGTAAGAGGAATCAGAGTCCCGCAATGTGAACCAAGTTCACTGAAATCAATGGCTTAACCCCCTCCCCCAGATCTTGGCCAGATGGAGGGGCTGAGGCAACAGATAGTGACTGCGACCCAGAGGCCGATGGAGTAGGAGGCAGTTGTCCCAGCTCGCGCTGGTTTCTGGGCAGCAGAGGTAGTGTGGAGCCGTGCACACTCAGTGAAGCTTGCTTGTTTCTGACACCTCGTGGCTGATGGCAGCCTGGTGGTGCAGTGGGTTGTTATAGAAATGATCCTCTGTCCAGGTCCTCAGCTCTACCAGTCAATCAGTCACTGGGAGGCCTGAAACCAGACCCCTCAACTAAAGCTTCCTTTACACATTAATGGAGCAACTGTTCCCTAGATGTCATACTGCTGTTCCCTCGGTGCCCTGCTGGTGCTCCCTCGGTGTCCTGCTGGTGCTTCCTCGGTGACCCATTGTTGCTCCCTCAGTAACCTGCTGGTGCTCCCTCGGTGACCCTCTGGTGCTCCCTTGGTGTCCCGCTGGCAGAACTGACTGCTGCTCCTTTGCCTACCAACAAGTATTCTTTCAGGTTAAGAACTGTCCTGTCCAGGCCTCTAGCAGGGTGGCCTCATGGTTCCCTATGGCTTCAAGCAGAACTGGTGTGTGTACATGGCAGGCTGGCACAGCAAGGTGGGTATTGCTGGTGTGTGCCTGGGATGGGAAGCAGAGAAAGATTTGGTAGGTGACTGGCCTGGACTCAGTCTAGCCAGAGACCCCTGACTGGCATTGCTCAGGGCCGTTCTCAGGGTCTCCTGGAGGAGCCTGCCCTCTTGCACCTCTATCGGAGACGAGAAGTGCTGGCAAGAGGACATCGTCTCTCCTTCACCATGACAGCCACCAGTGCTGGTGACAGCACTGTCTCCTTCACCATGACAGCCACCAGTGCTGGTGACAGCACTGTCTCCTTCACCATGACAGCCACCAGTGCTGGTGACAGGGCATCGTCTCTCCTTCACCATGACAGCCACCAGTGCTGGTGACAGCACTGTCTCCTTCACCATGACAGCCACCAGTGCTGGTGACAGGGCATTGTCTCTCCTTCACCATGACATCACCAGTGCTGGTGACAGGTCACTGTCTCCTTCACCATGACAGCCACCAGTGCTGGTAACAGGTCACTGTCTCCTTCACCATGACAGCCACCAGTGCTGGCGAGAGGGCACTGTCTCCTTCACCATGACAGTCACCAGTCACCATGCAAAATCGCAAAGCCCAGATTCCAGTTGAGTTGGGGTCCAGAGGCTTGAGGAGGAAGAGAAAGGAAACACTGCTGTGTTCTGTTTGAGGCAAGGAAGGGACCGACAGCTCTGTCTCATCCTCCCAGGCTCTCTGGTCTTCTTGACCTTGCTGGCTACTTAGCTTTTTCCACTGTGGGCCTCTGAGTGCTGGTGTCTGTGGGTTTACCTCAGACCTTTGTCACTGTTGGCCTCACATCCTCTGTCCAGCTCCATCCCAGCCACTGGGAGAGCAGCATCCCACAGTCCTGAGCAGACAGTGTCGGTTTGGGAAGGTGTGCATTATCAGTACCTGTGAGGATTAAATAGCTTCAACAGGCAGGGCAGGGAATGACCTTGGAATTTCCAGACGTCTTCTCTGGGATTGCAGTGGTCTGCGGTCCATCTGATCATAAGAGATTCTCCACATATGGCAGGTGCGTTTGCAACATATGTGTACACGTAACTGAGCCCACAGGATCACATATGCTTAGCTTGTTCCATTGCACTGGCCATCACTAACCGACCCTCCTGAACACTTACTGTGTGCCACAGACAACTGTACAGCCAGTGCCTCATTTTCCTTCTACAGTGACTCTATTGTAGGAGTCACAGGTCCAAAGATCATGGGATGGTAAGTGAGCAGCATGAATTGCCCAGAGAGCTCGAAACAACCTGTGTTTTGTGCATATAGGTGTTTGCATGTCTGCATGTTCGTATGCTTCCATGTGCTTACCCCCGTGGCCATACATGTTGCCCTGCTGGAAGGGGGGGGGAGGCTTAGAACATTCTTAAGAGATGGTTAGATAAGAGCCTGTGTAGGCAAGAGAAGTGGTGGTGATGTCAAATCCACAAACCAGGGTCTTAAAGTCAACCTTGAAATCTCAAGTGATAGAGGGGGATGGGGGCATGAATCTGATGGCTTGAGTTTGTGTTTTGCCAGAGGAGGGAGGTCTAGCAGAGTTTGCTGTCTTGAATACTTAGCACAAGCCAGGTGTACGCTTGTGACTGACGCCTTGGGAGACAGATGCGAGGTAGCGAGCGCAAGGCTACTCTGAGACTCACAGTGAGACTTTGTCTACAAAAATACTAAAACTCAAGGAAAAAAAAGAATAAGAAGAGAACGAGGAGGAGGAAGGAACGTTTCCGAGGAGACTTTGTGAAAGGAGCCAGATGTTTCCTGGCGTTTCCCCTTCCTGTGTCTGGCCTGTCATCCTCTACCCACTTTTCCGCGTGAGAACCTCACAGACACTTCGCCCACAGAGGAAATGTGCTACGCTATCTCATGGACGGTTAGCAGGGATGGGCTCATGCCTTCCTGGATGGAGAGAGGTGCTCAGGCACTGTAGCCTGTTCTGAAAGTTCTTCAGAGGTACAAGGGGCTGCACCCAGAGACCCAGGTGCCTTCAGCCTTGGGTGGCCAGCAGTCTCTAAGTGTGGCTTCTCAAGCTTTGTCTGTGGGCAGCTGCTCTGTAATACACAGACTGGGCAGTGCTAGAATCTTCCAGGGATCTGTGCCTCCTTTAGAATTAGGGGCACATCAAAGCAATCCTGAGCAGAGGACTGCATCAGCTGAAACTACAGGCAGGGCCTCCTCCCCACTGCCAATAGTGTCTCTCCTTCTACAAACCTAGATCTTCTGATACGAAAGTAGCTTAAAGCCCCCTCCTCCCTCCAGGAGCCGCTCTGAAACAAAACCGGCAGAGTCAGAGAACACTGGAAGCCCTTGAGCTCTGGAGCCACATCACCGAGGTTCAAGTTCTCCAAGTTCCATGTTTGTGATGAGCCTCAGGATTTGTATATTTTGGCTTCCCTGTCTTTGGTCTCAGAATGGCTGGCCTTTCTTGAGTGCATTCTGTGTGGCAGGTATGGCACTAAGCATTTTCCATGTCCCGCCTCCTAAGAGCCTCTCAACTGTCCTGGCAGGTAGGTATGCTTGTCTTCCTGGCTTTCCAGAGGGGGAAATGGAGAGCAAGACAGGCTAAGTCACTTGCCCAAGGTCACCTGGGTCACAAATGACAAGGCCCTGGCTAGATAGTTAGCCTTCTGGGTCTTACGTTCCTTCTCTGCGAACTGCACTCGAGATTATCCGTGTCTATCTGGGGAACTATGAGGACTGAAAGGTAGTAACAGCTGGCTGCAGATTTCAAGGACTTAGACACTGTGACTTGCTTAGCAGAGGTATGGACATACAGTAAGTATCAAGTTCAAATCCACTTAATGATAGGGTAGATCTCAAACCCAATCAGAGGAGAGAGAAGATCCAATCCAACAGCTGAGATAAAATAATTAGGTCATTTGTTCCCATTGCTTATCTCTCCCGAGGAAGAGCAAGCTGCTGGAAGGCGTATTTCTAGGGCAAAGTGTGGGCTTATGGTGGTTACCCGAGTCTGAGGGACTCTCCTGCTCTCAAGAGTCAACGTGTTTCTAAGTGACAAGCAGCTGCTAGCCCTCTGCTCCCTTTTCACTAAGAAAATTCTCCAACCCTTGCCTGCTCCTGAACGATCCCATCCCCAACCCACAGGGAAGATAAGCCCAGCAGGCATCTGGTTTACTCTGAGTGGGATAACTTGGTTGACTTCAGACACAGCCTTGCCTTCCAACCATGAAATTAGTTCTGAAAGAGCCTACTTCTCTGGGAAACCATCTTTCCCTGAGGATCTTTGCCCTCTGGTGAGCAAAGGCCTTGGTCCAAAAGTGACAGAGAATGGGAGAAGAGAAGGAAGAAGAAGAAGAAGAAGAAGAAGAAGAAGAAGAAGAAGAAGAAGAAGAAGAGAAGGAGGAGGAGAAGGAGGAGAGGGAGGAGGAGGAGGGAGGATGGGGAGGGGGAGAAGGGGAAGAAATAGTCAAGCAGTCCTGGCTCCTAGCTCCCCTCCTGGAAGCTCTGAGCACTGCTTACAGCCTTCCCAGAAACTCCTACCTACCTTCCCAATTTCCTCTCACACCTCTTCCAGGTCCCCCCCCCCCACACACACACACACAGCTCCATACGACAACATGGCGTACATGTGGCCCATCTGGGGCTCAGGGAATCCTACTGAGTATGCCAGCTTAATGAAATACTTTCAGTTTATTAAATACAGGCTTTCCTAAGCCCCGAGTGCCTGTGGATATTTGAAAGCTGAAGGCAACCCCGAGCTACCCCAAATGTCATCTCTCTACGTGTCCTTGCATTCCTGTTGCGATCCTATGCTTCTGTTCTTCAGCAGCCAGTAAAATGAGCAACATAAAGTAACTGCAGACAGACAGGGGAGGAAATGGTGTGTGTATGGGTGGGGGTGTTGGGAGAGACTCCCAGAACCCCTCAGGGCCTCTTAAAGTATATGAAGTTCCCATTACCCAGAGCCATGAAGGGCACTTTTCCACCCATGGGCTGCTCAAAGTTTACAGAATCAGTTTGCTATGAAGGGGCGACCAGCAGGCCTTGCATGTCAGCTTCGTGTGTCAATCTCGTGTGCCGTAGCTCAAATATTTCAAACCCTGTTTTAGCAAGGCTTGCTCTCAGCCAGCAGGGCTGGCAGGGTGCTGTGTCTGGGGGTTCCCTCTGCAGTTTTATTTCTGTTGCTCCTCTGGGGCTTGGCTGGAAACTGCTGTCTGAGTCCAGGAGGAGCCATGGGGAGACCCCAAGAGACCATGAGTTGCCTCCCTCCGAACAGGAGGAGTCTCTTCCTTTACGTTTTCCCATTCGTCAGTCTCCTGGGCCTGGGGTCTGTAAATCAGGGGTGAGGAGCTGAACCGGAAGTAGCAGACAAAGGCATCAAGGGAGTCACCCCCCTCTCTGCGGACTACCATCTGGATGCCGGAGAAGGAGATTCTGTTAACAGCGCTGAGGGGCACCTGCTCCAGGTACCTCAGTGGCAGCCCATTGACCCACACACAGCTCTTCCGGGACAGTACCTTGAGGCAGAAGGCCAGCAGAGTGCTGCCTTTCTCCAGGTAGGGCTCCAAGGACAGATGGTGTCGAGACAGCTGGGGCAGCTGCAGTTGGATGTGGGTGTCCTTCCCTCGTCCCACCAACAGCCGACTGGTATCGTGCTGCAGCTGTAGTGGGACTTTGGCAAAGGCAACCTGGCTTGGCGTGGAGTGGTACAGGCTCACTTGCAGGATGGTGAGGGTCCTCTCCATGGATGAGATCCTGGACAAAGACACACACACCTTTGTGTCACCTTGGGGGTCCTGGGGCCACGTCTTGCCAATGAGGACCATGGCTAAATGGATACAGTTATTCTGCCCAAGCAAGGATGGAGTGGAGGTTGACATTAGTGTTGGAACTCTGTTTCTTCACAGCAGAACAGGACACATTGCCCGTCTTCCCTGGGTTTTACTATTTTGTAATAAAGGCATGCCTATCCTTCTAGGCATGGGATAAACCTTACCAGCTTACAGGTTGGAGTCTGAGAGTCTGCAGGTCACCAGAGACAGTTTGTCTCTGCGTTAGAGGAACAAGAAAGCAGACGCATGAGGCTTCCTTGTATCTGGCAGGCACGAACAAACAAAGCCTCGCAGAGCCCTTCTTTGAGCCAGGTGTCAGCCTGGGTGCTGTGGTGAGGCAGAAGGAGACAGGCCTTCACTCTTGGGGGCACCCCTCTTGAGGGGAAGATATGGTGCTTCCAGATATGGAGGTACAGAGCAACAGAAAGGGGTCCTGAACATAGCAAGCACCTTCTTGGTGCTTCCAACGGGCCAGCCACCATGTCTCCTGAACATCCGGGCAGAAGGCAGATCCTGGTGGAGACTGGGCAGAGGGAAGCTGGCTCACCGGAGACCCCTCAGGGCCTCCGGGAAATGCACATAAGGTCCCAAAACTCCACCTCCAGGAACTCGTCCTTCAGTGTCTGATGGGCACACGTGGGAAGGACCATCCTATATTCAGCTTTGTTCCTGCCTGGTTTTGAAGGACAGATTCTGTCACATCTACACACTTCACATAACCCCAGATTTGCCACTAATTTCAGCAGGAACCAAGGGCTGAGTGGGGCTCAATAGCATTATATACCTTTTCTAGTGCCTGGCTTTGGTCTGCAGTATATTTTTTTTCTGCTAAGAATGTTTGTACCATCCTAGATTGTGTGGGAAAACATTGCTCATCTCTCACGAACCAGTGCAAATACTTTCTTCTCTAGAGAAGGTGACCTTGTCTGTGTCCTCTAACATCAGCCACAAGGGCACTCAGCCAACCCCTACTCCCTCACACACATCTGTATTGCCACCCCCAGAGTTCTGCAGGCTCTTGTCTTCCTCAATCTTCTCTCTTGTCTCCCTAATGTCTCCCAATGGCAGAGTGTGACCCGCCATATAGTTCAGAGAGCGCTTGGCCACAACAAATGTCTGGGGGTACATCTGCCAGGAACAAGGTAAGGCGACATCACATATATTGGATGATATTCAACCAACTATAGATGGCAGCTTGGTTCTTACAGTCTGTGGGATTGGGAGCCTTGCTAGATTACCACCCTTTGCCCTGGTGCTTTTCGGATGTCATATGTCAGTGGGAATCTAACCGACAACGGGGCCGAGTCCCCTGAGGACATTCACTCCCTAGCAGGCAGACACACACCTCTGGCCACTGCCTTCTGACCCCGAAGAACACTTCTTCCTGAGGCAGGGCCCAGGATTGAGGGCTGGGTACCAGAGCTCTCAAGCCTGAGAGCATAGCATAGCATAGCATAGCATAGCATAGCATAGCATAGCGTTCATCCTTTAGAAACCAGCACCGTGACCCATGGATACTATAAATAAACATGGCCCTGTGAGATCTCTCTCTGCGCTGTTGAGCAGTCAGAGCTGGTGGGAGCCTGTTCTCTGCCCAGCAGCACGTCTGCAGAGGCTGACCTGTTTGTCTTGGATCCCAGTGGATCTGGGAGAACAGAAACCCAGACCTCTTACTGCCCACCATGACTGACAAACAGGAACGCTGGTTCTGGCCGCGAGTCCTCCCCTTAGTCCCACAAGGCCTCCCTGGTGGTCCCAGTTCCTCTGACCTCCACCTACCTTACTGCTGGGGTATGTCTCTGCAGCTGTGTGCTCTCTCTGCAGGGAGGGGACTGGGCTGTGGCAAGGCCTGGGCGGGCTCTTCTGTAGTTCAGGAATGCATTGTCAGAGCATCCGTCCTACGGCTCTTCCGTTTTCCCTCTAGGAAAGAAATGAAAGTGCCATTTTCCATGGCAGAAGGGGAACCCACTGCCAGAGTTGCGAAACTGGTACCCTCTAGGAGAGTCCTCTTGACAGTGGGGTGTCCTGGGCCTCAGAGCTCCCAGGCTCTACTATTCCCTCCTCTTGATATTGGGGTGTCCTGGGCCTCAGAGCTCCCAGCCTTTACTATTCCCTCCTCTTGATATTGGGGTGTCTCGGGCCTCAGAGCTCCCAGGCTCTACTACTCCAGCCCCAGAGACCACAGAGTATTGACGACCTTCCTCTCCCATCTGACGGCAGAGGGTTGCTGGGCAGAGAGCTCCCAGATTACACGGTTCCTTTCTGCTGTCAGGGGTTGGTTAAGGAAGTCTTAAGAAATGGCAGCTCTCCAGGGTATCTCAGGAGAGACCCAGAGGACAGAGAGTATGACCACTCATAGGAATAGGCCCCTTTCGGCACACAGAGAAGGCCTTCTGATAATTTTGTTCCGTTTCTCCCCTTAAAATCAGACAGAAGATGCTGTAGTTGTTCATAAACTTGCTTGGCATGAGACCCATCTTGTGCAAGACCGCCTGAGCCCACTTTCCTGTCTTCTTTGTTTTCTGATCCCCTGGTCCTTTCTCTCAGGACCATCCCTGAAGAATGACCTGCTGGTTCAGGTCAATGAAACAATAAGGATGACATTCTAAAATGGGCTTCATTATATATGTTATATATGTTTAAAATATCTACATATTTATGTATGTATTATTAAAGTCCGGGTAGGTGGGAGGGTTACATATAGTTAGTGTTTCAAATTCCTCTCAATTGTCCAGGATGCAGGGACATGAACTGAAGGTAGACTTAATAATCTAAAGGTGCCCTGGGCGGTGGTGGCGCACGTCTTTAATCCCAGCACTCAGGAGGCAGTCGGAACTCTGTGAGTTTGAGACCAGCCTGGTCTACAAGAGCTAGTTCCAGGACAGGCTCCAAAGCTACAGAGAAACCCTGCCTTGAAAAACCAAATAATAATAATAATAATAACAATACAATAATAATAATCTAAAGGCGCATGATCTGATTTTTCTATGTAATCAGGAGATTATGTCTCCAAGACAAGCTAATAGCTGGAGAATGGAATAAAAAATTACAGTGAGGGCTTCATGTGCTTAAAACGGGCAGTAGGAAAAGCGGACATCTAAGGAGGTGGGACAAGGACAGTTCAGTCCTGGCTTGCAGTTGGGCTGGGTAGAACGGGAGAGGGGCTGGCATGCAATACTTTCCTGAGCAGAGACTCACTCATTCCAGAGGCTTCTGCTGCTTTCTTATAAGAAGGCATGGTTTGAACCCTCTGATACAGTGTCTTAGAGGCTGTACTTGCTCAAGGGAGCTCTGGGGCGCCATGGCTACCCCTGGGCCATTCCTTTCCTTTCCACCCCAGAGCTGGTGCTGAAATAACCAACTCCAAGGCTCAGAGGTGACTTGCCAGGGTCACATAGTGAATCTGCAGCACAGCCAGGTAAGGGCCCAGGAGAACTCATCCCTGGGCTCCATGGCCTGGCTGTAGTGCAATACCTTGCTTGCTGGGCCACGGAATCCTCTAGGCCATGTTTTGGGGACAGTCTTTGGGGTCTGGAAAAAGTATGGCTCTGCCATTGGTGATTCAGGACAGGTGGGAAGGAGCCAGGCTGCCTCTGGGAGCCACTGATGGCAGGAAGCAGGGTGTTTCGACTGGTGTTATCATGGATGTGGCTTTAGTGCCTTCGACAGCCCTTTCTTCAGTTTCCCCCAACTCCCCATGCCCTAGGCCTCCTGGCTTTGAAAAAGAAGGAGTAGAACACCCATGCACTGTGAAAATTCTATCCTGGCAATTCTTGGTGACCGGCTGGCTGTCTCTTCAGGGAACTTAGGGGGGCAACAGTAACCCAAGGAGTGGCCTGGAGGATGTGACAGACATGCTAATTGCCTGGGGAGGGTGAGAAGCCATACATAGGATGGGAAGCTAGACTGGACCTCAGCCATATTACCAGGGCTGTGTCCCATTCTGTGAAAACAGTACAGTCTCTGACGGGTGGATGGATGACCAGAAGTCCAGTAGCCACAAGAAGGAGCCTCATGGACTGCATACACACAGACGGATGTGTCTACTGTACCTCGGAGCTCACATGCTGCAGTCTTTGCCTACATAGGTCTCTCAAGCTTGAAGACAACCCAAGCCCCTCTTTCTGCATGAAAGAGCCTCCTCAGTGTTCCCCGCGTCTGCTGGCCTTCTAGTTTACATGATACCTCAATGACGCTCAGATGTTACGCCTCTCAATCTGCAGATTAGGGCATGGCACGGGCCTTTGCCCACTCCTGAGTCTCTCCTCTCGGGAGGGGACCCTCCCTGCAACAGTCACGCCTCCACAAGGGTGTGGGTATGAGACAGTTTTCAGTCCCTGCAGGGTAGAAGTTGCGGCCTAGAACACTTCCCATTACGAAAGGGAAGTGAAACTCTGGTGAGAGGAAGTTCTGTCCCAGGTTCTGGACGTAATAGGAACTCTCTGGATTTCTGGGGTTGGTGTGTAGAGACTACACTTCGTGCCAGCTTTTTATGTAAAAGGTTGGAGGCAAAGTGACTGGGAAAATAAAGCCAGGAAATGGAGGCACAGCCTCCCGGCCTCACTAGGAAGGTTTCCTCTGACTGACTTTGTGTTACCCACACCACCACTGACTGACTGTTGGCATCCAGCATAGGACTCTGGGGTGTTGTTTCAGGGAAATGTGCCCCCATCACGAGCCAGCTAGAAAGCCCAGAAACAAAACAACCACTTCCCCAGGTCTTCCCCCTCAGGCTCTCATGCCCAGGCACGCTTGTGTCTGAGGCTTGCTCATTCAAGCAACAGTTGTATGACCTCGAGTCAGGCATCCTGTCTGGACCTCAGTTTTCTGCTCTGTAACTGGCTGCAGTTGGGAGGGCTAAAAGCGTGGAAAGTGCCAGGCACGGCAAGATCTGCTAACTCAGCCTCAGCAGA